TCTCATATAATGGCTCCACAGCGCCCCCTAAACTGCAGCCCCCCGCGGCACGTGTTACCGGAATGCATGAAAATCGGTACACACATGTATCACGACCGCACGTACAAAAAAGCCTCTTGGAGCCATGCCCCAAACCCAACAGGAAGTCGGCCATTTTGAATTTAATGAGCAATTTTTGTTTATTTCCAGACGTTGTACTTTAACAGACTCCTCCAAGGGAATTGATTGAATCTACTTTAAATTTTGTCAGTGCAATGGAAAGACCTTCAGGTTCAGTTTCTACCTGAGTTTTCGTTGAACAGCGTGCCTTTGCAGTGCCGACATATTTTAATGTTTTGTTAAGAAACACAAAGTTGTTTGAACTTCACTGTACAGTCTTCATGTGTTTGATGAGAGTCTTGGCCTGAAAACATTTACTTGCCAATATTCAGTCATAGTCACAGTGCCACCTACTGGAAACAGGAAGTAAGCTTTGTACGCCAATCTTGATCCGATTTATGTGTGATATACTGGCGCATAATGCGACCGCGACACTCCCCGACGTACACGTACACTTATAGTTTTTGAGATTCAGCCATTTCTGTATTTAGTCGTTAGTCACGAGGGGTTAAGCAAAATCTGTATGAAAAATCCTTAGTTACAAAATTACGGTGGCCCTTAAGGGACATGGGGGACAAAAAAATACTTTTGCATGGAGAAATATTTGTTTAAAAAAGAACTTCTGGAAGCAGCAAACCAAAGCAATGGAGAGGCCCATAGCTGAGACATTACGTCAGTGCTTGGTTCTAGTCATGGTTTTCAAATCAGTGAAAGACAGCCAAAGAGGACTGTTGGTGAAAGGGAGATATTCTCTGTGAAAAAAGTACTCGAACTCTGACGTAATGTCTTTATATTTGAGTCCAAGGTCAGAATGAAACTCTGTGAAGCTCTCCGTCCCTTGGTTTGCCATTTCCGATGACCCTTGGGTTTTACTTTAAAGAGCTTTTTAACACTCCAAATATTTATCGCCCAAAACTAAACCCATGTCCCCCTAATGGGCTCCATACAAAATAGGCAAAAATAAGCAAAATCCTTAATTAAGAACGTTAACAAAATTGATCTGAAATAAGTAAAATAAACAAAAACAAACAAAATTCACACAAAATAAGTAAAATTCTTAATTGAAAAAATAACAAATATCCTTAAAGCTAGGATAGGTATTTCAGAAGAATCTTTTTGTTGTATTTGTTGAAATTATTTTTACATCCCGACAACAATTAATCAATAAAATGCTCTGAGAGACAATCTGGTATCTGTGGCTGCTGTAATGAGCTCAGCCAGTGATTGGATTCGGCCTGAATGATTGTTAATGATGCAGCAGTCGGCCACTATGTGTTCATGTGTTTTCAGGGAGTGGTTTTGGAGGGAGGCCTAAAGGGGACAGGTGGGATTTATTTTTTCACATGGATATTTGTCTAACGTTATCTACCCAAGCTTTAATCACAGTAAAACTTATGTACGTATGAAATGAGCAAAATCCTTAAAGGTCCAGTGTGAAGGGATTTAATGACATCTAATGGTAAAGTTGGAGAATGCAACCAACTGAATACAGCTCGCCTTCCAAGTGTGTAGGGGAACCTACGTTGGCTGGGGAAAATGCAAACTCTCCTATCTAGAGTCAGTGTTTGGTTTGTCCGTTCTGGGCTACCGTAGGAACATGGCGGACTCCACCAGAAGAGGACCCGCTCCCTCCGTAGATAAAAACGTCTGATTCTAAGGTAACAAAAACACAACAATTCTTATTTTAGGTGATTAAACACTGATGAAAACATATCGATGAATATTATATTCCATTTGAGACAATAGATCCTCCTCAATGTTTCACACTGGACCTTTAAACTAAATTTGTACCAAAGAAGCAAAATCCCTGATCACAACATTTAGTAAAATTCATACAAAATAAACAAAATCTGTAATTACGAAAGTAAGCAAAATCATTATCTACAAAAGTTGGCTAAATTCGTACAACATAGAATCAAGCTAAATTGGTATGAAATAAGCAAATCTTTAACTGTAAAAAATGAGCTAATATCATTAATTATAAATGTAAGCAAAATTCTTAATCACACAATTAAGTAACACTGTTACAAAATAAGTAAAATCCTGTGTAAAATTAAATTTATGAAATATACAAAATCCTTAATTGTAAAAACAAAATGAAAATCCTGAATTACTAAAAGAATCAAAATACTGAATAGTTCAAATAAGCAAAATCCTTGATTACTAAAATTAGCAAAAATCCTTAATGTTAAAAAAATAACCAAAATCTTTCTGAAAATAAGTAAAATCCTGAAACAAAATTAAGTAAGATTCTTAATTACTGTATAAAAATAATGAAAATTCTTGATTTCAAGACCAAATAAGTTTTAACAACTTATATTTTTGCTCCCATTTGAATTATTCTGATTATTTTTTCCCAGATTTGAGCTGAATGTGGTCCTGCTACAGACAAATATGACATTTTCAAAGTCCTGGAGGAGGAAATCTTGCTCACAAGAAAAATAAAAAACCCATGTCAACCACAAGGGAGGGCTGAAGTAAAGTTATAAAGTTCATATCTCATTAACAGGATGAAACTGGTGTCAAACAGCCTCTGACCTTTAATATTGTTCTCTGTTCTCTAACTACATGA